TGTGTGTGTGTGTGTGTGTGTGTGTGTGTGTGTGTGTGTGTGTGTGTGTGTGTGTGTGTTTGCAATGTATCAACAAATTAGCCTACTTCAAAGTTATCCAACACAAGTTATATAAACAAGCTTGTGAACATCAGAATCCGAATTATCTTTATTGTCATTCAAACATAACATCAGGGACGCAGTGTGGAACAAAATTGCAGTTAAGATCACCCATTCAAGAAAAGACACACATAACAAAACATGGGGGAACAGGTGAACAGGTCATGCGGCAACCAGATCACGCTACCTTTTTTAGCAGCTGGAAATACACAATAGAAAAAAAATCAAGCCCTTGTTGACATATCATCCTGGAGAGTTTCAGATAAGCATGGCAATTAAAGCCGCTGGGAGCCGAACTGAAAAACATAGTCATTTGGGACAAAACAGCCTTGAATTTTCTGTTCCTTTTTAATGTCTTAACTGCATCTCTGAAGTGGCAAAAAAAATTTCAATCAGCCGAATTTCCGGGTCTCTTGCCTTTTCACCATCTGAGGCTTCACCCAGATGTAATCCTACATGCCATAAGCCCGCTCCTGAGCTGCGATCCTCGTCAGAACCACATCCAGTTTGCGGTTTATCTCCCCCAGCTGCTGAGTCTGTGTGCTTCCAGCCCGGCACAAGCCTTCCAATGCTCCYGACAGCTTCTCAATGGCCTGGACCACTGTCAGGGTAGCTTTCACTTTTCGATAGATCACCTCCACCGATCAGCAGAAATCCAGTTATTATAAATCCAAATATATACAAATCTTCCACGTCTTCAATGGAAAGTGGTGCCAGACACATCAGGTTCCAGCCCCTCCAAGAACCACTGATACGACCAGCTACCATTCCACTCGGACAGCTTTGTTCCCCTCGTTCCAGTCGAAACRTAGAAAAAAATAGTGTCATTTGCGTTTAGAGACCAGTTGACCAAATCCATAATTCATTTTTGTTTCGGATGGTAGGTGAAAAAAGGCTTGAAAGAGCAGCAAAGCAGGGAAGGTGGGACAGGTTCTGGAGAGAGCACAAAGTATGTCCGGCTCCTCTGAAGGCTGAAACAGAAAAACATCCCTGTATGTATTGTATGTGCGTGTCTGCACGCATGTGTGTGTACATGTGTGCATTGTGAGAAAGCGCATGTTTCTTATAATCTATTTTCAAATTTGACTATTTTATAACTTGTGAATTTAGCTAGCTAATCCTAACCCTAACTGACAAAAAAAGCCAGATGAAGGCTTTCAAGTCCATGGAGGTTTATGGCACCAAAGAGGCATACTTTACCTGGAACCAAAGTCTTAGTGAGCATGTTTTCTCTCTGCTTCTGTGTGTGTACATGTTTTTGCTACCTGGTCGGCATGATTTTTGACCATTTTTTGGTACACAGCCTGGTGAGGACTCACTGTTACTTACGGAGACAAAACCCTGGTCCCAATTGGAGAAAATGACATTGGTGGGTCAGGGGTTTGGTTTAGGACTTAACATGTGAATTGAGTTTAGGTTTGGTTTAGGGTCAGGTGAGCTGTGAGGTTAGGTTTAGAGAAAGGGGTTGGGGTTAGACTAGAGAAATGCTGACAGTGTTTCTGACGTGTACCCTGCCTCTTACCCAATGGTACGCAACACTGAACATAAAGTGGTTGCAAATAAAGGAAATATTTATAAATATTGAAGATCTGATTTTCAGATCAGTTTTATTTTTGCTAAATTGGCTTTGCTGTAACAGACATCTTGAATGAAGTTGACTCAAAAGGCAAACTGCTGTAGATAAACATTCAGTGATTACTTTCTGAGAGYTTTCATGTGATATTTTGCTAATACATTTAAATTGGTCTTTCGGACCTGTTGGTGTSCAACAGATATTACTTTGTTGGGTTTGGAAAGAAACCTCTATCCAATAGTGAATTTGATGAAGAAACTGAAATGGAAATAGTCAAAAGACAACAAAGTCTCAGACTAAAACTAGCCAGCAATGTTTAAAACATGACCAACACTTAACAACTACATCATACATCTCAATACGCTGTGGAAGCTGTTAAAGGTTTGTTTGCATGCTTATGATAGCACAGCAGGACTAACTTAGCTTTAAACAGGCTTCTATTTTTACTGACGTTCAATTGAGGCACCATGCAGAGTTGTGACTAAACAAATCTATCATAATTCATGTGAATAAACAGTCCATTTCTTTAAAAAAGATGCACTTTTATTGTATTTTTATAGTGTGCTTTTATTTACATTTAGAAAATGTTTAAAGATAAAACTTTTTTGATCATACTAGCTTTGTTTTTTTTTATTTTTTGTGAAACATTTTTTTCTTTTTTATTATTTTTGACAGCTCAGTCAGTGTTAACTATTATCCTTACTCAGTCTTGATAATATAAACCAGTGTGTTTATGGTGTAAAATGTTTCAGTTCAGGATAAAGGGATMTTTTGTGTAGCAAAATATCTGCTTGACAGTTTCCCTCTTTTGAAGAGATGAGTTATAATACAATCATGGGAATTATTATAATTACAACATATCTGATAACAAGAAAAAAAACACTTTTGATGTTTTATTTATTTTTATTAAATTCTATTTTAGTGCAGCAAGTTTCAGTGATTTACTACCAAAACAACACTTCACCAGAAGGAGCCATTGAGAAGCATTCATAAACGTCAACGCAGGYACTCTGGTTATTGTGGATGAAAGGTTACTGAGCGTTTGCATTTTTGTACTTCTGTGTTTACTTGCTCTAAATCACCTCAAAAGATTGTTTGCACCAAAAAGGAAAGTGCTGTCCTTTTAAATTCAATTATCTGTCCATCAAAACCTTTCAAAAGGCTCCAAGGTCCAAAAACGCATAAAGTTCTCTCCCCCTGCTGTTTCATTGAGTTCCTCTCTAAAGCTTTTAATTTTCATTCAATGGAATTCATTTTATTGTAATTACAAGCTTTTTTGTACATTTCAGTAGAATTTAGGTTTCAGTCTTGGTTTATGTATTTTTATATAAATGTATATTTTTAATTGAATGTTAATCAGACATGACATTAGAAATAAAAAAAAACAAAAGTAGCATTGTTCTGTTGTAGAAGAAGCTGTAATTTGCCCCTCCAAACTTTCAAAATACAAGAATCCATCACATACTATTATAGTAATTTTATTATAACAAGTCACCATATAGGTTTCCACAATACTTTCACAAAAAATTAAACCTCATCATTCATTATCAGTGTGCTCTGAAGAAGTTTAGATGGTGAAATGGAAAAGCAGCTTTTAATAACCTATTGTTTCACCATGTTATCTACTAACATCCCGTTATTTCAACTTCTAAAACTAAATTCCATTGTCATTCAGAAAGTAATAACAGTTGAAGCTTTGATTGTCATTCATTCATAAACGCGGCTTGTCAAGAAATGATTATTCCTGCATGATTATAAAAACGTCTTTATATGGTTAAAACAGGAAAGACCGTTGACAGTTGATACAAAGCTTTGTATTTCAGGATGATTAATGATAATAATTGAATTTCAGCAGGGGCATACAATTTTTTGCACTGTGATTTTTAATTTTTTTTTTTTTATATTATAGGTACACATTAATCATTTATTCCACAGAATATTCATGAAGATGCAAAGAGACGTTTTTGTGTTTTACAGATCAACATTCCTCAATACAATAATCTGAAAATACACTTGACAATGCTGGCACTTCCTGATGGCTGCTACTTTGTCATTAAGTCTGTCACTGGAGGATTTCACATTACAATGTTGTTATTGGGTTTAATTTTGCCTTCAGTTGTTAGATTTCTGATTGACAGCTTAAACAGAAGATTTAAAATCTTCTGCTTTGAATTATTGAAACTTGTCTCTAACACTTTCAATTGTTCAACCTTGCCAATGCTGCTAGACAATTATTAAGAATGACATTTTGTTTCAGCTGCTCTTATTTTCTTAATTGTATCGATCCCATTGTTGACATTCACAAAAAAGGGAACATTTACATTTACTAATTTGATTTCACAGTGATCCATTGAAAATGTTGTCGTAGATTTGCATCAGACTCGTGACAGCCAGGTGATTTTATTTTCTAATTTCGTTTCAAGATGATAAGGTAGCAGCTAAGAAAGAAAGAAACACAAAATGGAAAATGAAAAAAAAATTCACAAATTAGAAAAGTAATGTTCTTTTCCGCCCAGCCTACCATTCACAATTTTTGCACACCTCTTCTTCAACCCCCCCTGCAGAGCTTTTGTCAGCCTGCCATGAGCTCCGGTGTCGCTACGGCTGCATCATGACAAGAAACGGCACCTTCTGTTTCTGCGCCGACGGCTTCGAGGTCGGTGAGGACGGAACGAGCTGCAGAGGTAAGATTCTGAAGAGCCGGGAGGGGGCTTCCTACCAGGGAGCGCTCCTCTCTTTTTCTCCTCTCAACACCAATCTCTCCTTTTGCCCTCAGCCAGACTTTTTCAGATGAATAGGCAGGAGTTGTTGGGTATATGAGAACCATCTGTCTGCAGGGAGGGCCTTATGCACGCCGTGCTTCACCACCAGCACACATTCACATGCATGCACACATTGTTTATACAGCACACATATTGTTTTATTTTTGTTGTTCTCTCTTTTAAAGCTCTTCACACATGCCACAGGCCAGGTTTCCAGCAGACAAAGAGGGCTTTGCATGAACCCCATATCAACAATATGGCTAATAATTGCATGATTGTGCTGCTGGAAGAAGTTTAACAAAGTAGCAGGACTTCTTAAATTTGATTCAAGAGCAGAATACATCAGAGAGTAAAGTTCATAGGGTACCGCAACCCACCCCAAAAGGCTCATTGGTTCTAGAAGTAATTATATTTGAAGTACCAGAGTGAGGCCAGATTAGGTATACTTTATGTATTTGGGTCATATTTGAGCACACCTAATTTGTTACAAATGACTCTATTCCTTATTTCCACCAGATCATGATGAATGTGCCAGGTATGGTGCGTGCAGCCAAACCTGCACGAACACCTACGGGTCATACAGATGCAGCTGCACAGAGGGATACATCCTGCAGCCTGACAGGATCTCTTGCAAAGCCAAACAAGGTGAGCAGCACACTTGCATCAGAAAACAATGCAATCTGCATAGTACGTGCATTTCACTTCTAATAATAAACAGTGCAGTTTTGTGTAAGAGGAGGAGAATTCCAGCTGATCAACACCCTGACGTTAACCAGGAAAGGTTGGACAAGATGAATGTGGTTTTCCATTGACCACATCTATCATCCACATGGGAACGGGTAGATGCGTTCCAGCTTGGATAATGATAAAATTAATGAGCAGAAGGTTTTAAGTGGGTTCCTTTTGGAATATTGTGTTCCAAGACAATACCAGACATCACCCTGATTTATGTTAATGGTTGTTGGCAGATCGGTAGCAAACGTGTTCCCCTGAGCAAAGCAATCTACTAATTGCAGAAATTAAACACTCAAAAAGGAAATTGTGTTTAGGTGGTCAACAGTCTGCAAGTAAATAAGGCCAATCAGTTGTGCGGTATGTTTCTGTGTCACACATGGTACCATAAAGTGGAACCAATTAATCAATTTATTTTTTTATTTCTCTTAGATCTTGTCACCACTGCCTTATATAGGTTGAAAATATCTGGAGGCCTAAAACACCTTGTTGGGGATAATACAGCAGTTGTGGTTTTTAATCACTGTGACTTATGTCCTATGAGGAATACCCTGAATATGATTACTCATAAACTTTACTGAACCCAATGCTCACATGCATTAATATTAATTTAGCAGAGGGTGATAGTTGTAGGAGCATAACTATGGGGTTACCATTAGCTGTAAAAGCTCATGAATATAAATTTGTGATAGAGCTGTGAGAGGCCAAAAGATGAGAAGCAKCAGGGTATGAAAACCATATTTATGCACCCAGAGTAGGATTGAAGTTAAAACTCTGCAACTCACATTTTTTTATTTCAGTGATTTAATCTCAGTTTCAGATCTTCCCCTTCTGACTATATTGAAAAAGTATTCATTTTTTTCTCCATCTGTGCCTTTAACTTAAATCAGACATTTTTTCATCAAGGTTAAAACTATAAATGATGTAAGTTTCAGGCAATGTTATGTGGCAAATCTTTGTTCGATTGGCTGCTAGMGGTCTTTATTGGCAAAACTTTTTCAGAAGACTAAAAGCAACACATATTTCAGAGCATTAGGCTGGCTGCAACCCCAGCCTTTTTAAAACAGAAATAAGTATTTTTAAAAAGTAGTTTTAGGTGGTTCTGTCATTGCTTTTTTTTTTTTACCTTTATTGTGCCAAAATGTTTTCTTCCTGTTGGAGAGATTCAACTAAAAACTGTAAGACATTTGATGCACAATTGGCTTTTTATGGTAGCAGTAAAATGTCAAAATAAACCACAGAGCTGCTTCAGTCAATGGAATTAAACACYGGTGTTCTTTTTTTAGGTTGTTATTTGACAAGCCTGAAAGTKGAGGCATAGGAAAAGAAAACCATCAAGAATTGTCTTTGCAGACTCAATGGACGCATACATATCACATCTTGTTATTTTAAAGAACCTTGAAATCAATGAAAATGTTTAGAATAGTAGCCATATGCTGCATTTGAGAACTCCTCTGTCAAAATGTCTTTGCAAAATCCCGTTTAAAAAAAGAGTGTGTGTCTGACTCAAACACAAGCAGTTATGTGACCCGACATTCTGATTTATTGCCTGTATTAGAAGAGCAGCCCTTGACTTGAACTTGTGCAGAAGATTGGGATAAATAGAGGCCCTTTTAAGAGGGCAAACCTGATGTCAGAGAATGTGCACGGTCAATTAAACCCATAAAGCAGCTTATTTCAGTTTTACACCATGGTCCATTGCAGGAAGATGGGTTTGGGGGAAAAAAGTCTACTTGCCTACGAGTTGAAGCTTATGTTTCACAGTTTGTTTAGATTAATCATTTCTAAGAAGCATGCTTGGGATATTAGTGAAACAGATTAAAAAATGTGTTGACTGTATAATAGTAGGGTTTTCTCACATATTAAAAACAAGTCTAGAAAAGAAAGCAGTTATGCTCGGGGCCCAAGCCAGTGCAAGCATGTTGACCAGGAGTTGTAAGGTCAATAGATCTCAAATAGATATAGGTCTCTAGAAATGGGTCGCTCTACCTGTATCCATAATTGGTAAAATTGTAAATGGACTGAAATTTTATAGCACTTTATCAAGCCCCATCGGACCCCAAAGTGCTTTATCACATACACATTTACACACTGATGGTGGTAAGCTACATTGTAGCCACAGCTGCCCTGGGGCACACTGACAGAGGTGGRGCTACCATGCACCAGTGCCATCAAACTCTCTGACCATCATCAGTAGGCAAGGCAGGTGAAGTGTCTTGCCCAAGAACGCAACAGTTGAGATGGCTTACAGGACAACTCCCCTAACCACTCAGCCACAGCCGTATATATCTTCTTTGGCTTTTTTTTTTGTTTGCCCTTTTACTGGCAGCTGCATTATTAAYACCCTTAAACCACTGTGTCAACATCATCTCAATCTGGCCTTTCAAACCTTTCAAAATATTATTTCCCAAATTTTCATCAGTGCTGTATTTCTGATGATCTCATTCCTTTTCTTTTCACATCATTTCTCAACCTCAACATCTTCAGGTCTGCCACTTCCAGTTCTGTCTCCTGTATTTTTGTCAATGCTACTGTTCATTCTACTCTTTTGTATATCTTTTCATTGGTGGGCCTGGTAGATATCCCTTCATCAGAGCTAAATAAATAAATAAATAAATAAATCAGAAGCTCTTATGAATAGTTTTTGAGTTATAAGCATTTTCATATGCCCAGTCACCCCCTTTTCAGGTGGATACCCCTCCTCAAATATGTGGTCTATTGTAAAACCGCTAGCTGGCACGGTGTGGATCGGCCATTTCTACATTCCTGCCAAATTTCATGTTGATCAGTGCAGTCGTTTCCGTGATACAGTTGACCAAAAATCACTGGGGAAAAAAATAAAATCAGTACGAAAACAACATGGGGTCACAATATGAAAGGTCTCAAAAAATCCAGTTTGAATATTACAATATGTTTCTCCAATCTTAGAACATTTTGTATCTTGTGACAGTCAAATATAGATATAATTGCTCAACAAAAATTATTCATTTTTTATATACACAAAACATAATAAATAATACATAAATAAATATGAGCAAAGTTAAGAAAAAAAGAGAAACAATGTCCGTGGAATACATAATTAATATTTTATCAGCATTTATCAATATTAATAAATACACTGCTCACACTATTTTCCTTCAGAAAAAAAATGACTGGCAGTTATTTTCAGTGATGACTTAATTTAACTTAGATTGGTTTTTAGTTTTTCCCACATTTTTATTTGGGGTGGGGGTACTTACCACTTTCAATCAGTAATTTTTGTTTGTTGTTCATTTAAAAAAATAAATGTAAAAATAAAAAAAAACTGTCTCATATCATTAATTAGCACAACAAACGCATGCTGTTTTTTCTTTTGTTATTCGTTTTGTTTTTCTTTAGAATTTACATCAAACAGTTCATCCACAAAAGTAAATCAACATTTTTTTTAGAGCCGGATGAGTCTGTAAGAGGTTTTCTTCAGTAAAAACAGAAAAAAACAAAACAAATAGATGGGCACACCTGCTGAGTCTCAATTGTTCATAAAACCTGATAATAAATTACAGTAATTATACACTGTGTGATGGAATGATTACTCACATCCAAAAGTACACAAGCTCTTTGTTTTTATAGGACAGCAGGATATGTACAATTTTAATAACATAAATAAATTACAAACAAAACAATAGTACCTTTTTTTTAAGAAGTTTGTAAGCTATGATTGTAAGTTGTGTCTTTTGAAGTAGTAATATATTTTTTGGTTAGTTTAAAGAGCCTTAATACAAACAAAAAATCCCAAGCAATTACAAAATAGGAAAGAAAACACATTCATGTTTAGGGGCATGTTATTTTTTTATTACAAGTTACCTTTTTGCACTGTTACCCACACAGCAAAAAATATGTCCTTTCTGCACATGACTTCTCCACGTTCATCACTTCCGTAAAACGTTCTGTGACAGTGACGACTTCAGAAATCACGAGTCTGATGATGTCCTTTTTTTTTAAACGGTGACTCTGTCAGACCTCACTGCACATTAAAACATTCAGGCTTCTGTATGTGATGATTGAAGAGTGAGAACAGCTTGTTCCTTGATGCTGTATTCCCAAGTGAAAATTGGGCTGCTTAAACAGAAATCGTGTGTGCCTCCTTTTTATTTTTGTCKTTTTATTCTAGATCCTGGTGACATCCATCCCGTGCTTCTTATTGGAGGCTCAGATCGTATTGTCATCACCCATCTAAACGGAACAGGCCTCCAGCCGCTGAGGTCTCTAAGTGTAAATGGAACACAAGCGCTGGATTTCCAGCACAGCCAGGAGAGTGTGTGCTGGACCCTTTCTACCGAATCCTCTGGGCAACTTCGCTGTGCTGTAATGAGGAATCTACGTGGATTCACTCGGGAACGGGAAATAAGAGCACAACAAAGTTTACAACGTATGATTTTTTTTTTTTATATACTGTCCTGTTTTGTTGTTACTCTTCTGATGGATTTCACTCACTGTTCTCAAACGGTGAGTGCTCCCATCGACGCGGAGAGGAGAAAATTACATTTTTTCTCATCTGAGGTACACATTAGACAGTGCTCTCTCGCAGACATCAGCTCTACATTATTTCACTCTATCACTCCTCTTCACACTGCAGGTTGCCTCTAGCTTCTCATTATCTGTGTGGTTTAAGACTGGTTAGCCTCAGCAGTTTCAGGATTCACCTTTATCCTGTAGCTGTCACTCTTGAACACATTCCAACACCAGTATCACTTATTAAAAAATATGCTCTTTTTCTTTCGCCAGTACATTATAAACATAACACAAAAACTCTGTGTACTAAAACATTTGCATCAGATGATTTTGCTTATACAAATATATAAGTATAAGTAAAATTATTTCAGGTAGTGATGTTTTTTTAATAGCCATATGATAAAGCTTTCATGAGTACAGTATTCTTCATCATAACTTCTTTTCCTGTAAAAGTTGATTGTCACAAGCTGCGTTTCCATTGCAAATGTGCGCAAAACTTTGTCGATATTCTAATGTCGAAAAAACACAGTTTCGCAACTGCTGTGTTTCCATTAAGTAAGAAATGCTATTAAAGTCACATGTGAATACGTTTGTTCTCGCGATAAGTCATTACAAACATGGCGGCGATGGATGTAAACACATAGCATGTTGCTAACACGACACTAGCGCTCATCATCAGAGGAGACGTCGGCATCTTTTATCGAGGCTTTCCAGAGACAAGCCCCTACTTGGGAGCGGCTACGTATGCTGTGTTTTTAGGAAATTGTAGTCGGTGAGTTTAATACTTTATTTTACTATTTCTGTGATATTACTATTACTTCTCCTTCCTGTTATCTTCTTCGTCATCATCTTTTTTGCCAGTAGAAACTGCCGGTTGTTGATCACGTGACTCCCGTGTTGCGAAAAAAGTGTTTCCATTGCAGTTTTGCAAAAAACACCAATTTCGATATGGCCGAAATACCACCTCATCCCAGCGCAAAAACATTTTGTCAAAAAACCTTTTTTTTTAAATTGACGTGTTTCCATTTAACAAATTTATATTCGAAATTCTAATTTGCACATTTTCATGGTCAATGGAAACGCAGCTTTCAGATATATTTTTTGTRTTGCCAAGAATACCTTTTGAAAATATCATTTTCGATTCTTTTTGGTCTTTCAGACAAAAAATGAGTGCAGTTTCAACTTAGATTGCTGAGTTTCAAAAATGCAGAGTTTTGCCAGTAAGATAAAGAGAAGCCACATTAAGGTGACTGTAGGATTAGCACTATTATTATTATATGTATTTTTGCAACTTCTCAAAAGAATACCAGTTAGGATATCCAGATCTCCTGCTGCTTCTGTTTTATCACAAATTTCAATCATGTTCTTTTAAATAAAAAGCAACCGAGGTGTGTACCATTTTTGTTAAGCTGCTTTGCACAATAATGTCACTTTTGTGCATTTATCTGTTTCAGACGTGGAACAGATGGCCGTTGACTGGCTGACAGGAAACCTGTATTTTGTTGACCGTGTCACGGGCAGAATATTTGTTTGTGACCGTGGTGGAGAAACATGTGTTACTGTTGTACAACTAGACCTACTGAATCCTAAAGGGATAGCCCTGGATCCTCTCATGGGGTAAGTCTACAGCAAATAATCCAACTTCTGTCAATGCTCCAYGTTTGTCATCATCTAGTATATTTTGTGGATTTAAAAACAAAACTATATTTTAACAACTGACTCTGAAAAATAAGTCTCATTCAAATATTTTTAAATGATTTTCATTTCGTTGACTCAGCCCTTTTCCCTCTGAGCTGTGCATTTTGACATGAAGCCCATCATGCTTCTGACAGCTTCTACTGTCCAGTCGTTCATCTGTATTCACGGATTTCACTGCACGTGCCACAGAAGAAAATGCCCCTGCAGGCCTTTTTCATTACAGGATTTTTGTCTTTGAAGATAGAGGGAAAACACATTTTCCTTTCAGGGAAAAAGCGCGAACAATTTACAGCATGTGGCAGACAGTCTCCTGAATCAGAATTTATTTTGTAGGATTCTTAGCATTTTTTACTACGACAGAGTGCAGAAAAGCAGCAAATGATTTAAATAAACTGCATGCACCAGCTGTATCAAACCGTGAAYCAATTATTAGCAGCTCAATCCGCTCTGCGCTCATAGTTCTCAGCTGGCAAGAAAACAGCAGAGTTGTTATATCGCGGGGACACAAGGATAGGCGTCAAAACYCGAAGTCAAAGCAAAAATGTAACAACCTTTTTCCAGGATAGATTTTGGAAACAAGTTTTACAGTTAATAATAAYGACAAACCTTTTCTCAGAAGATGAGTGCGTATTTTGCACAAAAAAATACAAACATATTCAAACTTCCCTGATARTGGAGGCACCTTGCTGCTGGTCGGAAACAGTTGTAACTCAGGCGTGACCGTTTCTCCTAAGGCCAAGACAAAACATTATAAATCTTGCATTTTAACACACTTYATAATTAATCTGAAAGTTGATGCAGAACTGCACGAGTGCTTTGTTGGTTTCTGTTTAAAAAAAAAAAAACTGTGGTTCAACAACCTGGGCTACCATTAAGCCGGCGGGTCTAATCAAAATAATTTGCTGCGGGCTTTTTTAAGGGCGTGACAGGTTTGATCTGGTTGGCTGCATCTCTTTGCTCTCATTAAATGYTGGTCAGCCGCTGGAACATGTGAATACAATGTTGCTGATGGCTCCCTGTGACTCCTCCGTTTGATGTTTTACTGTAAGTCAATGTGGTTTTTGAGTGATTTCRTGTTAGTATAACACCTGATCACACTTTAGGTTACTGGGTAGATTGATTGCGTAAGACAGAAGTTTGCTGAGCACTCCTCTTGACTCTAATTGGTGAGAAATGGGTACAGCTGTTTCTGAAGCAGTGGGCCTGAGAGAGGTCTGTCAGCCTGAATCAATGGAGTGAAAACAAAAGAAATGGGGGAGGTGTTAGATAGCAGCACAGCAGGAGGAACAGTGTTTATTGAATATGCTCTGGTTTGGCACTACACTTTTATTCTTATTTCACTCTCTTGACATCTCCCTGCCTCTCCCTTTGGTCACGGCAATTTTACTTTGCTTTTTTTTTTTTTAGGAGGCATTTATTGGACAATCCTTTTGTCTTTTGTCTGAAAAAAAGGAACATTTTAATGGTGGGATTTGTTTATTAGCAAAAAATTCATTCGTAATGCACAAAGAGAAGCTTTGCAG